CTGTCGCGTGCTCACTCTCGCTCTGCTCTCACTCTGACTCTCCCCCTTCCTCTTTCTCCTTCTGCCCCTCTTCAGCTTATCCCACCTCCTCTCTTCTTTCTTTTTCTTTCATGGTACTAGGGATGGCCTTTATATTATCAGAGCTTTAATTTTTTTTTTTTTTTTTTTTTTTTTGGATAGAGGCTTTCAGAGTCTCTAAACTGCCCAGTCTAGTCTCTTGCCTCAGCCTCCCAGAGTGATGGGACTGCAGGTGTGTACCGCCATACCCAGCATCAGCTTTAGCAACAATGGTACCTATTTGTTCCTATATCATAACTCTTCCACCTCCTTGATGTCACTGCTAGACACCTCCAATCTAGGATGATCCCTCCCAGAATTCATTTCTCTTCCCATGTTTCCTATCTTTATGAATAGCCCAGTATCCAAGCAGAAAAAAGGAAATTGTATGATACTTTTCTCTCTTATTTCCTAGTCTCTTTCTATTTAATCCTTATATGCTGGCAATTCTACTACTAAGTGGTATTAGAACGTGATTCCTTGTCAGTAACTTCCTCATTCTTATAATCAGCTTACTGGAAACCATCTTTAAACGTTTCTTACACTGCCACCCTCTGCCCTCTTTTCCTCTCTTCCTTGTAGACTGACTCAAGTGCCCATTCTCCTTAAGCCCATAGCAATCATTACTATCATGGCAAAAACTATGACGTCTGTAGGTATTTGTTTGCCTATCTGCCCAGACACCCATTTTCTTAAATAAATAGTATACTATGTTTTCCTTATTTCTTAATCCTCAGAAATCAAGCCCATAAACTGCTCATTAAAGATTTAATAGGTACACTAGGGATATACCTTCTTCATACAGCTTAGCATATATGCAAGGCCCAGGACCAGAAAAAAAAAATCGGTAGCTGCAAGGACAATAGTATAGTACATTCTACGTTAATATATAAATTAACAAAATAACCTCTGAAAATTCTTTAGGAAGTTATTATACTTGAGACCAACATACAATCATTTTCAATATGCTTAAACCTAGCAGTTTTCTATCATTAGAACAAGAAAGAATAGTTAAAATGCACTTATGTTTTACCCAACCTCAGTTTTGAACACCGAAGTTTATATCCAATGAAATACTAAGTCTGGAAGTAGGAATTCACACAAAATAAAAGAATAACAAATTTTGGTCTCTCATCTGGAGGTGACTATTATAAATACATGTACTGAAAAGAATGGTAACTGCTATATTACTAAAGTATAACAAAATTAAGCCTTGCTGATCCCGTTTCTTATATTATAAAGTATATGCAAGTATGATGCAGTTCTTTTATACCAATATGATTATAAGAAGCTAATTTTTTGGCCAACAGTATTTTTCTCAATTAATTTCCCTGAATATTCTCTAGTGCTTTAAATAATATGGGCAAACAGGATAACAATAAGAATGACCATGAATAAACTATACTCCAGTATGGTCTGTTGAGCTAAAGGAAGTTCAGATAGTCACAAAAATCGTAAAAAAATAAATAGGGCAAAGGAATGTCTCCACTGTTGTATTTATATCACAATATAAACAGTGCAGCGCAATGCTACTGTTAATTAAAAATAAACAGACAAGTATGAATTAATATTGGGATAGTTACTTTTATGAGCTAATTGAAGAAGCTTATTGCTGGGCAAAAACTGGATACAGAGACTTGAGTATGCTGCCACGTGGGTGAGTACTACCAATTTCGAGGCCTTATGTTCCAGTATGCTAAGATTCAGCCCACTACTCCTAGACACCACATGGATAACCCCCTGCGGTATGTCACGATACATTCATAAGTGCAGCTGTGTGCGCGCACTGCCTACAGCTTCCATTACTTTAAATCTTCTACATTTCAAAGAATGCAACTATTGTATTTATTATTGTTTCTACAGTTATGCTTTCTGCATTTTAGGAAACATCTCTGAGCAGAAGAAATGGCAAAATGTACTTTTAAAAAGCCCAAATTAATGTTACTACAAGGATATAACAAAAGATTTCCTTCCCAGCAATGATAAAAGAGTTAAAATAACACTGTTACATTCTCAGAAGAACTAAACTATACGGGATCAATCATATTTGCTTTTCTGTTTATTTCTGGGAGGGGCTGCTTACTGTCGCTTGAACTTAGGGCTACCACTGATCTATATCCTCAGCCATAAAGCACATTTGATAGTCTAAAAGAAAAAAAAAGTTGAGATTTCATATATAACAATTCCACTTTCACTAAAACTGCTAAATATAATTTAAATCTTTTATCTCTTATTTGGCAATGCGTTATTATTACCTATGACCTTTAAAACTGTTGTCATTTACAGAATCATTTCATTTGCTTCAAAGTATTAAATAACTTAGACCTTATCTATACCCAAACCCTATCAAACTCTGGAAAGAACAAAGATGGCATGCCAAACAAAAGGAGTAAGTAAGAGTTTTAATGCTAAGGAGAACCATCTGGCTAGTCTGAAAATCTGCTTTTGTGTGTAAGATTTTTCAATAATCATCAATCAATTACTCCTGTAAGTGTGCTATGTTTAGAATCACAGTACAAGTGCCAGACAGCTCCCCTGGAAGCTTTCTCGTCTTGATTCCTGGACGGTCCTAAGGCTCAACAGCTGCGTATCTGACGCAGACGACGCAGTCTGCACGCAGGAGAGCTTTTGCACCTTACTCTCCAGTAGACTATGAACCCTGTGAAGGCAGGATCTATGTTTATTTCATTGATCTGATATCAGTATCTAGCAGAGCATCCAGCACAGATTCTCAAAAAATATGTACTTTATAAATATCCTCTGATGCTCAGTACTGATCTTACATTTTTAGTCTTTCCAAAACAAATTATGTAAGTATAATACTTTCTTTTTCTTTCTATTTTTCAGTATTTTTTACTTTACCCCTTTTGTTCACTTCTCTCTTTTCCCTGTGGTAATTTGTTCTATTTATTCATTCAAATTAACCCAATAAATCCTTGTCTAGAACCTAGGACGTGCCCGGCAGTGCGCGGCGTGCTGAGGTTATTCCAGTGACCATGCTCCATAGGCAGCCAAGAGCTGCAGCCACAGACACGTGGAGCGACGTGACAAGCATTTCGACAGGTGTGACTACAAGAGACTGTGTACAAAATGCAACATGTAAGAGGTTTTTCCCAAGTTTTTGTTTCCAATTTATTAACTTCTCTACATTATTTTTTGCCCTGGTCATCTCTCTATTTTTTAAATATGAAGCATAGTATGTCATATAAAACACAAAGCCACAGAATACAGGACTGAAAAGCAGTCTGCCTCCTACTTTATCCCCAGCCATCCCGTTTAGGTTTCCAAAGGGCAGCTTTACCATCTTGTCCATAATTAGGGAGATACCTGTATAAGCCATACATCCATGCGCCTCTTCATTTTCTTCTAGCACAATGGGAGCTCACAGTTCGTATCCTGTTCTGTTCTCTGCAGAATCAGCCCAGACTAGAGTATCACACTTTTTAAGGAATTTGCCTCAGACACCTGGCTGCAAGTGCCCCCTTCTGCACACCCGGGTTGTTCTTTTTGTCTGTGCTCACCTACCAGTGCCTCTCTGCTCCTCTGCATGCAATGCATTCTTAAATCAGATTGCTTGGTGAAATCTCACTAAGCCTACTTTAAATGCTAGATTTTTCACAGAGCATTTTCTTATATGAATTTGTATCAGGTGTTAAGAGCTTCTAATGTACTGTGCACTTAAAAAGGAAAATTATAAACTTCATAGCAAGGATTCTGTCTTAACACATTTAGATAAATCCACACCACTTAGGCATTTAAAATGCATTCACCAAATGAAGATGTCTGCTTACTTTGAGTGAATATCTGAGGTGTTGGGGACTGACCCAAGCAGTACTTCACCCCATCTTATTTTTTTAGACAGGGTATTGCTACATTGTCCAGGATACCTTCAAGCTTGTGGTCCTCCTACCACAGCCTTCTCAGGAGGCGAGATGACAGGCATGTGCAACCATGCTCAGCTACATAAATGAATGGAACTTTGTAGGGAACTACTTCTAACGTATCACATGGGTCTATAGAAGAAAATATCCTATATAAGATATTTATTTCAGAAGACAGGAATGGTTTTAAGTAAGCCTCTAGTTAATAGTTAATTTCAGAACGTGCTAAATGTACATTATACAATGTAATTATTTCTGTAAAATTACAATTTTATTCACATTTATTTTATCTAAAAACAGTGAAGAAGGCCAGGGAGATAGTTCAGTGTCACAAATGCCTGCCTGGCAAGTACTAGGTTCTGAGTTCAATCCCTGGTACTGGAAAACAACAACAACAGGGAAGAGTAAATAGAATAATGAGTAGAAGAGTGAAAGAGTAAGTGAACCATACTACTAAAAGCTACTAAATTTCACTTCAACGCTAAAAATTCTCGTAAATCTCTTAACTATTACCACTCTAGTCTACCTCTGTACCTACTATATAGGAGAAAACACAACCATAATGTGCCTATAAGTTGAATTTGAAATAGGCAGAACTTCTTACAAATTTCACAGAAAATCTACTCGAGGAAAAGCTTTATAAAATATAATAAAGCCTTGTTGTGTGTCTTGGGTTTTTTTTGTTGTTGTTTCCATAATTTTATAACATGACTTCAAAACTCATACCTGTAAAAGTTTTATAATTAAAAATATAGCAAAAAGAACAATGATTACCTTTCCAATATATAAAAGTAGCTACATAAAAAATCATAAAAATTTATTCAGCACTCATCTATTCAATAGAAGAACTACATAAATCCCTATTCTTTTCTTTTTTTTTTTTGTCAGAACCGGGGAATGAACTCAGACCCCTGTGCTTGCCAGGCAAGCATTTATTATACTGAGCCATCTCTTCAGCCCTTTAAGTCCCTATTCTATAGAGAATTATTATAATTTATACATTAAGAAATGTTTTTAATGAAAATACCACCATGCAAATATTCAATTTACTTCTTGACTCACCTCTCCCCCATTAACATATTCCATCACAAAACACAAACGGTCTTTTGTCTGGAAGGAATACTTCAAGGACTTGAAATGAAAAAGAAAAAATAATGTATTATAATCCTACATTCTGATTGAAATGGCATCAAAAGTAGAACCCTTAAAAATAGTAAGCATGATTATGGGCTACTGGACTCTTTTAGAATATTTTGCTGAGTTTACACACCTATAATATTCAGTAACGGAACTTAGAAAAAATGGGGTATACAGATGAATGTCCATTTTGTATCTGTGTATTCAAAGTGGTTGGGATAGATATATAGTTGCATTCTGTTAATGAATAGAATTATTTGTTCTAATGGTGTTTGTAAATAGGATCTTAAGTCTGCATCTTGTACAGCAATTAACCACTAAGAAGAATATATGCAGTGTATTATTTGTTGAAAAAGAAAAAAAAAAAGAAAAAAAAATAGTAAGCATGATTGATGAAACAAATTGTTATTGTTTCTTACAAGTCTATTTGCTTCTTAAGAATGTGTAAGTAAAAGAATATAAGAAACATAAAACAAATTTTGTTCAACATGGCAATAGGTATTATTAAAAGATAATTAAAATTATACATAAATATAAACAATAAATGCAATGAACACTTCTCAATCTATTGCATCGTCCATTTGAAACTGTACTGCACTTCAAAATTCTCACTGTGCAACCTTATGTATTGCAGGAATATAGTTATATTTGTTACCTTCTAGTTTTTGTTTTTGGTTTTTTTTTTTGTTTATTTTGCTCGGAATGCCTTCAGGGCAGGTTTGGCTGGCTTGAGTTGTGGGGATCAACCACAGCAACCTGAGCCTGACTGCTTTGTTGAAGCAGCCACTTAAAGAACTGAGCTAAGGGGCAGGCCCCCTACCTTCTAGTTTTGAACATAAATTTCAAGTAACTCTGTGAGTTCTGGATATATAACGTGATCCAATGAACAAAGTTGGCTCATGTAATTTTATGTAGTATAAAATGGTATCACAATCTTACTAGACTGGACAACAAATGGATGATAATGTAATTAAGTCTGGGTATCTAGTGACACTTTTGAAAATTCCTACTTTAGATAACTGTAAAACTTTAATAAAAGGTTCTACTTTTGAAAGTCTAGCTATTATGTTTCATCTTAATATACTTGACTGCAATCAGGAACACAAAGAATCTTCGTAACAGAATCTTCTGTTACAAGAACCTAAGAACAAACCAAAAATGTCAGTTTGTTTCAAAATAATCACACTTCATGCATGAAGGTCATAGTTTGTACTTTGTTTGGTGAAGGAAATGTAGTAAGACTTATCCTGTTTAGTGAAATGAATATTCCTGTATTTTCAAAAATAGGCTATCTCCAAAAGAAGTCTTTCTACCAAACAGTCAAGTAAAATCTTTCGTATTTAAAGACAAGAGCTGACTGTTCATTTAATTATGCATCTAAATACAATAAACAATATTAAAAAGTCTACTATTTTCTCCATGATGCCAGAGATGACTATCTGCTCTATAGAAGGAGAGGCGCCACCAGATAAGTGACACCAGGAAGAGTTCCAAGTGCATATGTACTCTAAAGGTAGCCCACACATTCCAACAATTTTAATTTTTTTTTTTTTTTACTCATGGTCTTTCCACAAAGAAAATGGCAAACGTAAATATTATTTTCATAATCTTGCTTCTATAACAAAATTCCTTAAATTTAAAATGTTATTAAAACATCTGTCACTTACTGTTAAAAATGGATGTCTAGTGTTCTTCAATACTCTGCTCTCAGTTAGAGTGTGTGCCACTTCATCCTGTGAAGAAAAAAGAACTATTAAAATATACTCTAAGCACTGATAAAATAAAAACTGAACTATTCCTCCAAAATCAGAAGAATTTACAGTCAGAGAGAAGAAAAAAAACGTGAAAGCTAGTAGGTTCCCTTTGCTGCTCCCTTTCCCTCCTATATCAAAGTAATGATGGCTGAAAGGTAAACGCTCATACACTTGTGCTTCATTTCAGGAAATCAATAGTGACATAAACACCAGCAACCAATATTAAAGATAAAAAAACTGATTAGTAAAGCTTTCCCCCTCAAAGAAAAGCCCTTATCAAGATAATATTTTAGCATAGGGTAATTTATGTTTTCATGTTTATAGTAAATTTTATTAAGACATAACATTTTAATAAAATCATAAAACCTTCAAATCTCTTAAAGAGAAAATCAGTAAGTTTTTACATATTAGAAATACAAAGTAATGAAGTATCTCTACTCTAGATTTAAAAAAATTTAAATGAATATATATATATATATATATATATATTTGTTTTTTTAATGTATTTGGTACAGGGTCTCACTATGCAGCTCAGATGCACAGTGATCCTCCTGTTTTCAGCCTCCCCAGTGCTAGCATTACAGGTGCGTGCCACCACGCTCAGTCTCTAAATAAGCATATTTCAAAATGAAAATATACTAGAGAATGTATTTCCTTAATTTTGTTCATAAACCTCACTTTGACATCAAAAGTAACATAGAAATTTTCTTCAACATATGGAGAACAGAAAAGATCTTTAGTATGTCAAGAATAACACTATCTTAAAGTAGAAAGAAAAGGAAGATGACAGCTGGGAAACTAACAGTATCTCCACCCTGTTCTTTGTTTCTGACAAGATCCTAAACAAAGACCTTACTGGATCAACTTAACACTAAGTAAATCAAAAGTACCTTTATGAGGAAAGATGGCGAAAGCAAAACATCAGGACACTGAATTTAGTATCTTTACAAAAGCATTATCTTTAGACTTAGAAGACAAATGAGAAACTGAGCAAAGCTAAGATCCTAAAGTTATTCTAACAGGGTGAGAAAACTATGTCTGAACAGAAAGTAAAATATGATAATAAGGGCCGTCTGAATGGCTCAGCAGGGAGATTCGATCCCCCAGCCTGTGGTGCTGGTCCTGCCCCCAGGGCAGCCTGAGAAGACAATTGAGACCGGGTGTGGTGGCGTGGGACTGTAATCCCAGCTCTTGCGAAGCTATAAAGAGGTGGATTATTACTAATCTGATCTAGTAGTAAGACCCTGAACATCCTGTAGACTCTTGCCTAAAAAAATCATTAACAATGCAGTATTTAAACCAGAGGAGTCAAGAATAGCCATATAAGGACTATAGTCTTATAAGAGTGAGCTTAATTAAGGGTTCAGACAATTTAAGAATCACTGACATAACGTGATTCAGAGATTATAATATTTTATTATAAAATAAATCAAAAGTAGAAATGATGTAAGAATTTACAGAGTTCTGTGCCTACACTACTTGGTAAAATGGTTAATACTCAGCAGTGAGCATGCTTTGCACAGGAATAAATTCAAAAGTGTCACATCATTCATCTATATACTATTTCTACAAATATGAAAAATATATGTTTTAAGTATTGTTCTTTACAATAAAGAAAAAGCATTAAACCAAAGGTTCCTGCTCTCCTGGACCTTTCATTTTAATAGAAGGTGACTATTAGTCAAGGAAAAAGAAAGCAGACAAGCAAGTATTATGCTAATTTAGCATCATGTAGTGAGATGAAATAATTATGCTTAATGAAAGTGGCTATTTTGTGATATACAGGGCCAAATTCGTTCATTAATGAAACAAAATCCATGACTTCACTTACTTGCTCATAGAGTTCACAGACTAATAGTAAAGACATGGGTGTCATAAATAACCAACCTCACAAGCCATAAAATACTTCTTATAAGTACAATAATGAAAAATGGGAGTTATACAGTACTGTAAGTGAAATGATGAAAAACCGATGCTACTAGAAGAGCACAGGCTGGGCAGTGTGACGGCAGAGAAGAGGGACTGAGGGCTGGCATAGCATGGTTTATGTCCTACGAAGTCCAATTCTGCTGACATGGAGAATAAAAACAGAAGGCAGCAACTGGGAGGCTCTTACAGTATTCCAAGAAAGAAATGAGATGACTTGTACACTATGTTGAGAGAAAGAATGAAAAGCAGAAATAATTTTAAGCTATAAAAAGTATTTCTATTTATTTTTAAGATTTAAAAATCAATAGAAATAAATTTTTTAAAAATCACATGCTTCCAGTATGAGTGAATCATGACACATCTCTATGAGCCATGAGGAGGAGGGGCACAAAAGAGAAAACACAGGTGTGGGATACTAAGCAATTAGGGTTAGCAGATCAGGGAAAGCCTAACCACAGTGCATAATGAAGCCCCTTTAGAACTACATAGCTCAGTGCTTAAGAAAATATTCCTATGGAGTATTTTATTATATTTGTAAGAACTGACCCATCACATATGATAGTTACATTTCAAAATCAAATTAGTCAGTTTCATGAGAGAACACTTTTTTCCAAGTCTATAGTCTGTGTAACCACATGGAAGGAGCACAGTAAAGATGCAAGGAGACAAAGCTAGAACAATAGTTTTTTGCTGTAGGAATGAAACTGGAAGGAATGCAGTATATTCATCATATATATATATATATATATATATATATATGCATTTTCTACCATAATTTACATCCGATTAGAGGTTTTTCCTATTAATGCAAATTTAATGGGCTGTATTTCACATACTAATTAGTTTCTGCTATGAAGATAAGGTATGCACAAGCTAAGAAGTAAACACAGATGCCAATAATTTTTAATTACAGTTAAAAGCAACATGTCAAAACAAGAAGATAAAAATAACAGTGATAAAACTTAGTGACTAAAACAATGTGATGCTTTTATAAAAAAATCCATTAGCTGATCTTAATTATAAATCAAGAGTCCTTCAAATGCTTAGATACATAATAAAAGTTGTTGAAATATAAATTTCCATATATTTATCCATAGTGAAATATTAGATAATGAACTTTCACTTAACTTCTTCATAGATTTATGGAATGAGACTGTGTCACTTAAGTATAAGAGTACCAGGGGCCGGGGAGATGGCTCAGAGGAATAAGCGCTTCCCTGGCAAGCACAAGGACCTGGGTTCAATGCCCGGTTCCACCAAAAAAAAAAAAAAAAAAATCTGAGTACCATACTCCTCTTTCTCCTATGTATTTTCCCAATCTTCTCCAATTCATTACTCATCTTCTACATCTAATTGCAACACTACAGCTGAAGTAACACTAATAAAATGAAAATTAGATCATTTTATTATACTGCTTCAAATTTTTCAACCATTTCCTGTTTCATTTAAAATAATAACCAGGCTGCTGCTGCTTGCTGGTCTGCCTTCTGCCTCCCACATCATGAACTGTTTCTTCTCTGTGATGCTCCTCTTCCCTATCACCCTACCTTGGAGCCAGAAGACTAGAACTGAAACCTCTACAAACTAAAAGCAACCGGGCCCTATCCCAGCAATGGGGTGCTGTACAGCAGCGAAAATGAAGAACTGGACCAGGATCGAGAGGAGCGCAAGCTGCTGCTAGACCCTACTAGTCCCCCAACCAAAGCCCTCAATGGAGCTGAGTCCAACTACCACAGCCTGCCTTCCGCTCGCACAGATGAGCAGGCCCTGCTCTCCTCCATCCTTGCCAAGACAGCCGGCAACATCATCGATGTGTCTGCTGCAGACTCCCAGGCATGGAGCAGCATGACTACATGGACCGGGCCGGGCAGTACAGTACCCGCTTGGCTGTGCTGAGCAGCAGCCTGACCCACTGAAAGAAGTTGCCACTGCTACCATCTCTCAGCAGCCAGCCCCACCAAGTGCTGGCCAGCGGGCCTATTCCCGTCTCTGACTTGCAGCAGGTCTCCAGAACAGCTGCTTATGCCTACAGTGCACTTTCTCAGGTCCATGTGAATGCAAAAGAGGAGTTGGTTGTACAGTTTGGGATTCCATGAAGAGAGTCATCCATGGACAGCTCTTCTCCTATCTTTAGCCTGGCTCCACCACACCTCCCCTGGAGTAGAAGCCTGAGAAGAGTAGAAGCCTGAGCAAGGCAGCGGGTAACTGTCGGCCAGTGTGAGGAATACTCATTCATCAGGAGATGTTGCTTTTCCATAAAACATCTGACCACAGAAGAGTGGCAAGAGCTGAGTTTTTGTTTAAGAAGAAACCAGAGGAATTAAGAGCTTTAAGCAGCTATGTTGGCTTGTCAATATACTATGATCTGAGGTTTCTCAGCCTGGGTCCTTTACACTGCATGAAAAGTCTTTATGAGACGACCCAGGCTGCGGGATCTTGAACAGACCCAGAGCACAGGCCCGGCGAGTGAGTGAGATGACCCAGGCCGCCGGATCCTGAATAGACCCAGAGCGCAGGCCCGGGGAGTGAGTGAGATGACCCAGGCCGCGGGATCCTGAAGAGACCCAGAGCGCAGACCCGGGGAGTGAGTGAGACGACCCAGGGCCTAGCAGGATCCTGAATAGACCCAGAGCACAGGCCCAGCATGGAACTCTTCAGCAGAACTCCCTGCAAAGAGGCTAGAGGTAGGACCCACCCAGCTGATTCAGGAGCAGAACATCTTGCCAGAGAGACACAAAGGGTTCAGCTCTAACGCCTGCAGCAGAAAGAAGTGGAGCACAGCAGCCAGATGCAAGGAACACCCACCTGGAGGAATCTGAACTTCGTAGATCCGGACCTGGTGCTAAGGTAATAATTCTATCTAAGCTCTACACCAAAGGTCAGAAGACAGTGGTATACAAAATGACAAAGAGAAGGAAAAAAATGCAGTCTCAGGCCTCGAGTCCACACGGTACAAGTGCAGAAGATGCTAGCACTGAGGAAACTGGAAATCACACACCAGATAGCTCTGAAATAATAACGTTGACAGTAAAGAATCAACTGCAGAAAGG